GCGTCGACGGAAACGCTGAGGTGTGAGACGTAAATCAGTTATCACAGTTATTGAACATACATTGAACAATACAAACATAACCTTCTATTATTACCGAAACAAAAATTTACATTGACAATGACTATTTCTAAATCACAATACACATCTAACAGATCGACGTTTACAAAGGTATGATACACTAACGGAAAGTCTTCTATGCGAACACTTCCGACCTGCTAATAAACCTAAGAATACATGCATTAAGATACGTTAACAAATTGTTGGTGAGTTCTACAGGTTTTGACATAAAGTATTTTTATAACCAAAAATGTTTTATAAAATTTATCTAGGGGTGAGCAAAACCGAACCCGAAAACCCAAAAAACCGAAAAACGGAAACCAAACCCTAACCGTCGGGTTTGGGTTTTAATTTCTTAAAACCGAAATTTGGGTTTGGGTTCGGCTTGTAAATATTAGAAACCGAGCAAAACCGAATCGAACCGAATTTTATAAAAATATACTACCTCCGTCCCATATTTATTGTCCACTTTTGACTTTTGAAGTCTTTATTCTTCAACTTTAACTTTAAATATTTTTACTTGTGTTATATATTATTTGATGAAACTTATAACAATGAAAAAACATTTGAAACACAATCCATTTATATATTTTGTATCAAGTATTATATATCAAAAACAAAAATATTTAAGGTCAAAGTTGAAGAATAACGACTTCAAAAGTCAAAATTGGACAATAAATATGGGACATATGGAGTAAGATATGTTCCGTGTGTGTATATATATATATATATATATATATATATATATATATATATATATATACACGCTAATGAAGAGAACTTTCACCCTTTTCATCATTTATATATGAAAGTTTCCAAGTCTCACCAAGTAAGTTTGTGATTTGGTTTGGGTTTCCAACCGAATCCACCCCGTTAAAAACCGAGAACCCGAACCCAACAGTTTGGGTATTGGGTTCGGTTTTAAAACTTTAAAAACTGATAGTATCGGTTTGGGTTCGGGTTTATGTCAAAACGAACCATGCTCAACCCTAAATTTATCTGATGACCTAACTTTTATAAATACATACATTTCTATCAAAATTATATAAAAATAAATGGGTTATAAAAGTGTATTTAGACTCATTTAGAAATATCGTATGTTCAAATCCGAAAACACAAAATTTGGTGAATATATAAGTAAATCAAACTTATATAAAATTTTGACGATTGTCATGACCAAAATTCATTTTTATATAAAGATTTTGAATACCAAATCATATAAAAATAAAACCTGTCACCCTTTGTGAAAACATAAAATAACAACTTTACTCTTGAAATTTCGTACAAACAATTTTATAGTTTATATGTAAAGCTTATAGATCTTGAGTTTATAAAACTTATAAGGTCATGTCATGGTAGTTATTAAATATTAACTTACTTAATTTGGGAACCGACATTTAACAGTGGGGCAAACTCCTCTCACATAAACGTAAAATTTTCGTACAAAAACAAAGGGGTTTATATAAATAACTTATTAAATGAATGTTAATAAACCTCGATCAGTCGTATCATGATGTTAATTAAGTGTTATATAATTTAAATTTTGGTATTGATACTTGTCATTTTGAGTCGCAACTATTCCACTACATATAATCTCTTTCAACTATGGTAAGAGAACAAAAATCGTGTATGAATCCTAATCCAATTTCATACAGTACATTCCACGGGGTCTATAATGAGCTCATAACTGACACTGTGACACGACACCTCTGCACTAACACAAGAGTGGACATACTAACAATTCTACACCAACGCTTGATCAACAGCGTGGAGTAAATAAATAAATAAAAATAGAAACGTCAATGCCAAATTCAACTCGTCAAATGATGGTTGTAGCTAACAACGAATGAGCGGGATTTCGACCCGTATATATCATTGTTAGTCGATTCTACACCTGATGTTTCTCGCTCCTTACGAATTAACGGTTATGTAGCAGAGGGTTTTACTAAGATTTGTGGTCACATATAGCTAAGGAAATGATCCTAGCTCATATGGATTTTAGAAATAAACATAGCTCATATAGGAAACCCGGGTGTATTCGATCCTAACAATGTGTCTAGGCATTCTAATCCTAAACTTTCCGTTATAAGATTTTTGGAATACTTGTAATTTGATTGTTTAGGGGTAATCTTTAATTGAAGTCTTTTAGTATTTGAGATTCCTAAGACTTAGTGGATTTCCAAATTTCTAATGTCTTTTATGACAAAATTTGGACAGCATAACAGTTGCTTTTATAATATTTTCCAGGTTTCAAATAACGTGAGACCAACAATTCTCATAATATTCGATAAGTTGCATAATTGATACGTTACGTAAGTTCTTAGAATACGATTCTTAAAATATGAAAATCAATGATGCTATCATATATGACAAATTCACAATTCAGTAAAAAAGATTTATATTTTTATAATAATTATAAAAATATATTAAAATCATTTTTCGGCTCATTTTTACATAATGGCAAAGAGTTTAATAATAATAATTAATTTTTGAGTATTTTCAACTAGCGATTTGTAACACCCAGTTTCGAATCGTTTCATTATTTGGGGTCGTGACCCGAAGGTCAGTTATCATAAGGCTTCGAGCCTTGAGGAAAGAGAGATTCGGACCCCTTTTTGGATGTGGGTATTATAGATTAGGTGATCCGGAAGTTCGGTTAGTGTTTTGGAGCCCAATGGTATATCGGTAATATGTCAGTTCGAGCCTTTATACATTTTGGATTGTAATTCGAAAAGCTTTAAGGCAAGGGTGAGTCGATATTAGTGTAGAGCTCCTTATTACCTTTCCTTGAATTTAAAGAACGTCGAAATCGGACATAGAACGAAGAAGTTATGGCCTCTAAAAGTTTGGTAGTTTAAGAGATAAGCCTAATACATTGGGCGTACAAGGAAGTACGATGGGCGTACTAGGCAGAAGAATCGTGGGCAACTTGTGGAGTACATTGGGCGTACTGAGAGTACGCGGGGCATACTCCAGCCAGATGAAAAACCTAATTTTTAGGGTCTTTTCCCTATTTAAACAACTTATATCACCTTGGGTCATCTTATTGAGCAACCTCTATCACCCTAAACCCTAATCTCGACCCTTAGTCACCTCCTTGGTGATTTTGAGCTCTTGTGAAGGATCTTAGTGTCTTTTTGTGCATTTTGAAGAGATAGAATGTTATTGAAGATTCATCTATTAATGTGAAGCTTAGAGATCCATATTCATCACCATCATTAGTGGGTCAGTAAGGGGCTGTATCATAGGAAACATTTGGGGTTGTCGGAATTGCTGAGATTTTTGGGAGTGTTCATCTGGTCTTCAAGTGTTGTGCGGTCTTTGGGTTTGGCTAGTAATCGAACAATAGCATTGGTAAGTGCAGGTTGTCAATGGTTCAATCATAAGGGGTAAGATGGATTAGGAATCTTTTAATTTGGTGTGCTGGGAGAGCTTCGACAAATTCAAGTGGGGGAGAATTGTTCAGATTTTCGGAAGCCAAATCAGGCGTGAACTTGCAAATTTCCAATTTTGTAAATATGTAAAACCTAGGGTCCAAAGTGGTTAGTAAGCCGATAATATTCAAATCATCTTAAAAACATAAAATAAAATTGTTAGTAATCTACGATCTAGACTTTATATATATATATATATATATATATATATATATATATATATATATATATATATATATATATATATATAAATTAACATTATAAATATATTAAAAATCAATACATTTTAGTTATCATCGTACAACGAATGAGAAGGCAAACGGACAACAAGTTGCGCCGCTAAGCCTTTTGGTATGATAAAGACAATTCTTTTGAAGACTATCCATAGGTTTTAGAGGATATAACATTGCTGTGCATCATCTGTTGTACTTTACTAAGAAACTTCGCTGCATCCGCTGCAAGGAAACCAAAGATATTAAATGCAAATATGAACACGTGTTGATTTTCCATACACGGTTTCTCATATTATGACAAACTCTCATACTTAGATTATTTTATTTTTTAATCAATATAAAACAAGTTGTCACAAACTAAAAATACACATTTTAGCATTTGAATTTGAATATAAGTGATAAAAAAATATGAATATATATATATATATATATATATATATATATATATATATATATATACAACAATAATTACTTATTGTTCAATTAATTTCTAGAACATATGAAAAATTTCCTCCTTTAACACCCGTTCAAGAGTCTTGCGGACTACTTTTCTATATATCAATTCAAAATGACAGTTTTGCCCATATGCAGGTTTTTAATTTTTTGATCAGTTCCCTTTTATTCTCTGGGTTAGAGGTGAAGCCACATATTCTATCAACTTTTTTATAAAATATTTTTTTAAAGGAAATTAACTGATCTAACAATTTTATATTTTAATGAATAAGGTCTTCAAAGAAAATAACCATTTTTTTTTAGTTTTTGAAAAATAACCACGCTGTTTGGAATGCTCTCATTCCGGAGTACTTTTCATATTCCGAATTTTTTTTTTTTTATAATTTTCAAAGATTCATTTTTTTTGGGATTCTGAATGATACATTTACGAATGTTTTTCAATAAAATGTCTAATTTTATGTACTAATATCGTATGTAATTCACATTATTATGTTTGTTTACCTTTTTATTAAGTTTAAGTAGAAAACAATTTTTTTTTTGAAACTCTGAAATTGTTCTTTGGAATTCGGACTTGTTTCTTGAAATTCTGAAGTTTTTTTTTCTTTTTTCTTCCGAAATTCGAATTTTAGTTCGGAATCTGGAATGCCGTAAAAAAAAGTTTTTTTTCACAAAGTTGTCATTTTTCTAAAAACAATTGGTTTCTTCCAATACACATTAAATGGTTAGATTACTGAATTTTCTTTTTTTAAATTCGAAATAACATTTGGCGATATATTTTTTCGATAAATAAAGACAACTATTAAGACATAATAAATCATAACAACCTAAATACAAAGATATGATGGACGCAAAAATGTCCAGTAAAATTAGATGCTCTGGAAGAGCCCTGGAAAATGAAGTGAACACAAACATAAGACTTGTATAAACCGTCATCCACGCCCATCTTCGCAGCTTACATCTCCTCTATATAATTCATATTTGCGTACGATTCCGTTGTAGAAAGTCTATTTGATTTGGGTAAGCCACCACTCCCCATAACGCGTCTTTTACAAATTGATCGGAGTAATTGATCCATCGGTGTCGTCAAAGATGGAGAACAAGAAAGAAGAACCGGTGATGGGGATCCCCTACAATTCCAATTACCAACATCCTCCTGTTTACGCTCCTCCACAACAGCAATACTATGTCGGAAATAACCCCAATTACCAACCTCCTCCACAACAGCAATACTATGTCGGAAATAATCAATATCAATCCGGCCAGATCCCTCCCAACGCCGTCGTCGGTGATCCCAAAGGTGTGCCTCTTCAGCAGACGATTTATAGAGACACTCCCGCTCCCATTAACTGCGCCTTCTGTGGCAGCTCCGGTCTCACCAGCGTCAGGTATTCATATCGATTCCTTACCCTTTTAGGGCGTTTCAGGGCTTTACAAGATGCAATCACTAAATAGAGAACAAACGTAAAAATTGATCTGTCCCTCAATTGTTGGTCCTTAGATAAGATGAATCTGTATTGTAATTCGATTTTCTGTTATACAGAATGGTCTGAGTTTCATGATTCATGTGGAGGACTTGAGATTTTTATGTTGTTTTGCTTGTGAACGAGATCTTATGCCTTCATCAATCACTCACTGAAGGTTCCTGTTTAATTTTGGTAATGGAACCAACTTTTCTCCGTTGAGGAAGCTATTTGACTCTGTAAATCTCTGATTGATAACTAGAAAAATCAAATATGTATATGTAACACTTGAGGAAAATCAGTATGTTAAGTGATAAAACATTAAAACTTCTAAAATACCTACCATCAACAGTGGGGTTACTAGTTAATGTGACTAATCATGTTAATGAAAGGCTGTTGCACGTATGTATTGAATTAAAAGCTGTTGGGCTATAGGAAATTCGAGTTTGTCATTTTCTTAGAGAAATGGCTCCTACATATAGATTCCAACATATAGTCATAATATACATTGCAACATAAATTCACATATGCCATATACATATACATTGCAACATAAATATATTGCCACATGGATGTACATATATAGATTTAGATCCATATAAATATACATTCTAGCATGAAAATACCATATACTGTGCAGCTTATATATAGATTCCATTTGCTTTATTTGATGTTCGTTTTTCTTGTGGATTAAAAATGTGAACCTGATGTTATAAATTGTGTTGTGTATAGTTTTATCCTGATTAGTCAGTTGTAATGTTTTCTGTAATAATGTTTTATAGATCAAAGATAAGTCTGGCTGCTTTTGTTGGTTGTGTGACACCATTCATGCTTGGAGTATGCTTTCTTTGTCCATCAATGGATTGCCTTTGGCACAAGTATCATTATTGCCCTCATTGCAATGAGAAGGTATACAATCCTTTTGCTCAATCATTCATTTTTTTTTTAAATTTATAAAACATAATATAATCAATGTTTTTGATGTAGCTTGCTGATTTTGAGAAGAATGATGCATGTTTGGTGATGGATCCTCCAAGTTGGTATCAACCAAGTTTTGCGTTGCCTGCATAATCATGAACTATTATAAGCTTACAATCTTGTCATGTCTTTGCATTCTTTTATGTTGAATGTTTTTTTTTCTGTATAAAAGTCCGAGTGAATCTTACATACTTATAAAGCTTGCATTTTCCTTTGAATGTCATGCATTTGAAACCCCCCACAATAATTTGCTAAAACCTCATGCATTTGAAACCCCCAAACCTTTTCACCTTCTTAATAATTAATCACACATAATCAATGGTAATTCATATCAGATAATAATTTGCTAAAACCTCATGCATTTGTATGGTATTAGAACATGTTTGAGTTTTTGGGTTTTAGACTTTAGTAAATGGGTAATCCGTTTGATACGTTGGATTTGAAGCTATCTTATTCGAATTACCCAAAACAAGAGATAAATTAATAATATATGCTCATGCATGTTTTGTACAAGCCCCAATCAAAATACAATATATCATGATCATACAATTAAGTGTGTCTTTTATTCCATTTTGGCTTTATAACAAAAGTTTGTTTACGTGGCGAAAAAAGAAAACTTGAAGATGAATATTTAGGTTGGATGTTTATATAAGATTTGTTTAAATATATAATATAGATATAAATACACAAATGTGTGTCAAATACAGCCCATCACAAATTTAATGTTATAAACTACAATATAACTCAAAGTGGTTTTCCAAATATAATGTTTATACTATAATATAATATATTAGAAAAATACCATATAGTAGACGAATCCCACATGTTGTGCAGAAATTTAGTTGCATAGATAATATATTATAATTATATTTCATTTAAAATATGTTAGGGTCATTTGGTTATTACATTGTTGTATTAGGCACTATAGTCTCATATATTTTGAATGACTCTTACAAAAATAATGTCCGTAATTTGAATATAACGTAATATCTTATGATGTTTATTGAATGATATTATGTTCGATTGAGCACTTGGTAATTGGAATCAACTTTATTATAGTTAAAAATTTTGGCTCCGTTTTTTCTTTTTCATTAGTTCTAGAAAATGATTTTTTATATTAACTTAAAATATGTCACTATCTTAAAAAAGATTGAGAATGAGATTTTTTATATTTACTTAAAATACGGCACCATTTTCTATTCAATAGTAAAACTAACAAAAGTCGTTAAATATGTATTTTTATGAGGTTCAACATAAATAGACGACCACAAATGAGAATTCATATCTAATCAATTATCAATTAATTACATTAGATACTAATGTGTACATAAAAATTACATTTAAAATTTTAAACTAATAGTAAAAGATTTTCATTATTTATTATGATAAAAAATCTGTAAATCAAAAAATATACATGCTATTTAATCGCATACAAGTTTTATGTATGACTTATTCACAATATATTAAACCATATATAATCATATTAAACTACATAATTATCCCACTGCGCAACGCGCTGACATTCGCCTAGTTTCAAGTATACGTAACATAAAAAATGTGATATGGGTAAACCTTGTGAAGGTGGATCATGCAAAGATTGAACGAAGTTGGTGTTATTAGTACTTGCATTTGTATTGATTTCTCCATTTCTATTTCTTTAACTGAAAAATGCGACTTTTTAATTTGAAATTGATTATCAACTAAATGCTTAAAAAAATTATGTAACAAATAAATTTAAAAAAAAATCAATAATTACTAATTTGTAACAGCGATCAATAAATATGACTAAAAACAATGACAAAAAACGATCAATATAAAGGAACTGAAAACATGATATAAAAGAAAATGCTAATTGTAATTAATTTTGGTTTTAATATATATATATATATATATATATATATATATATATATATATATATATATATATATACTAATGATTTAGTATTGTTTTAGATCAATTAATTATCTAAAATATTTATTCTATTTTTTCTAATATCCTTTTACAATTAAAAGTTTTATTTTTTAGTTTGCATCTTTCCTTTTTCTATTAGAAGTTTTCAACTTTAGTTTCCATTTATATGACAAGTACCGGTTGAACTGGTAGCTGATATTGACCATGCATTTGTATTTTTTTTTTGTTTGCTTAGGCTGGAGGGAGTGGTGCCACCGAAACCGCACTCCCTCCCCCGCCACATAAGCCCCACGTCTTTTAAGTTTTTAGGATTATTTTAATGTCATGTGTGTGTTTTTCTTTCTTTCTTTTTTTGTGTAATGCGATGTAATGTTTTTTGAATTTTTAATGTAATGTTTTTTTTAATTTTCAAGTAATGAAAAATTATGTTTTTTTTTATTAAAAAAGTTATTATTATTATTATTTTGTTTTTTTAGCTATTTTAATTAAAACTTCTTTTTTAATAAAAAAAACATAATTTTTCATTACTTGAAAATTAAAAAAAACATTACATTAAAAATTCAAAAAACATTACATCGCATTACAAAAAAAAAAAAAAAAAAAAAAGAAAACCACACACATGACATTAAAATAATCCTAAAAATTTTAAAAACACAAATAAAATAACTAAAGCAAACTACATAAAGTCGTTATCCGAGAACTCGTCTTCGGAGTCATCCGGTGGATCCAAATTAAGGTTAATGTTTTGAACCCCATAAATGTGTTCCACCACGTCATTGCGAAGATTGTGAAATGTTTCAATGCAACGTATCTCTGCTCTCCTGTTCATATACTCTTCGCCACCAATTTCTATTGGTTGTGTCTCTGGTATGGTTTCTTTCTCGTCAAACGCACATATCACTCTTCCTTCGTCTTCAATAATTATGTTATGCAATATGAGACATGTATACATGATTTCTTGAAGTTTTTCCTCGCCTAAATGAACTGCTGGTTTTTTCAATATGAACCACCGTTTCTTCAGAGCTCCAAAAGCACGCTCAACATCCTTCCTAGCTCTTTCTTGAGCTCTCTTGAATTTTTTTCGTCTAGAACCATGTGGACACGTAAACGATTTAACAAAAACAACATATTCATGATAGATTCCATCGACCAGATAATAACCATACTTATATGGTGTTCCACGCACTTCAAAAGAAGAATCTGGTGCAGATCCATCGTATATGTTGTTAAATATAGGTGAACGATTAAGAACGTTGATATCGTTAATCGAACCAGGAGAACCAAAAAAAGCATGCCAAATCCACAGATCTTGTGATGCAACTGCTTCAAGTATGACCATTGGGTGACCATGATCACCTCGGGTAAATTGCCCATGATATGACGTAGGGCAATTTTCCCATGCCCAATGGAGACAATCTAAGCTTCCTATCATTCCAGGAAACCCATGCACACTAGCATGATGAGCTTGCAATTGCAAGATGTCATTACATGTAGGCTTACGTAAATATTTTGGACCATAAAACCGAATTACAGTTTGGCAGAAAAAATGGAGACTGTCTCGTGCGATCCTAGCAGACATCCTAAAACTTTCGTCTAACGCATCAGGCGGAATGCCATATGCTAACTGACAAAGTGCGGCCGTGCATTTTTGTAAGGGAGTGAAACCGGGTGCACCTCTAGCATCGTAGCGTTGTTGAAAAAAACTGCACTCCCTCGTTACATCTTCAACTATACATTCGTATAAACCTTTGAACATTCTGAAGCGCCTACGAAAATAATACCCTTGATAAGTTGCATTCTCTTGAAAATAGTCTTGCACCAAACGTTGGTTGGCTTCTTCACGATTTCTATAAATATATCTTCGTGTTCTCCGTTGAGAACTTGCAGCTGCGTTATTGCATAAAGCATCGTATGTTTGTTCCGCCATTTGAGTACACGCAATAGCGGCATAAAAAATAGTCGGAAATTCTTCAGAAGATGTCATTTTTGACAGAGATTGGTGATTTTTTTTTAAAAAAGATTGAGAGAGAAGAGGTTGTATTATGGTTAAAAACAAATGAAGTGTATATGTATATATAGGAAAGAAAGGCAAAAAAAAAAGCGCAAAAGCATTCAACGGTCAAATATTAAACCAACCAATCACAAGTCACGATACTCTACAGCCGCAGTGCGGCCAAAACCGCACAAGACCGCAGTCTGGGGCGGTGTGTGCGGTCCAGGTGGCACAAACCGCTGTCCCAGGCCGCGACACCCTCTAGCCTTATGTGAATTAAATAAATAGTTATAGTTATGCGGATGTTTTTTTTTTTTTACTTTTAGTTTTTAACTATTATTGATATCGCTGTTGTTAATAAACACGAATCAACGACCAAAATTGTCAACCTTAGAAAGCAGGAAATAAAGAAACTGAAGCAACAAACAAAAGATTTGTACCGATTCACATGAGTTATTTTATTATAATTCTGATGTTTGATTTGTGACTAGTTAAGTCTATAACATACAAAAAACCATTTGATTAAATTTAAACTATTTTTTATAAATCAATAGCTATTTTTTATATAAAAAAACATGAATAAAAATTGCTAAATGAAGTTTTGCAATTCGTATTGGACCAACATTTATAAAGGAATTTCAGTTTTCTAAAAAGATTTAAAAATACATATAGTATTTAATTTGAAAGTGGCTTTAGGAGTTTAGGGCACCAAGGACCCAGATGCTTGCTTGGAGTCCAGCCCAAGTGAGTGACTGAATCATCTCTAGTAAAACAAATGAACTCAGTCTGAAGAGTGAAGATTGCCAGGGGATAGAGTGAGGGCAACGATCAACCACCTGCTATTTGCAGATCATCGCCCGATTCACCATTACAGGTACATGTTCTCCAACCTTGTTGATCTGTTTCACAGTTATCAGAAAATTTGAATGAGTATGCTGCGTATTTGTCAAAATTAGGTTTTCTCATATGTAGTACGTTGATCTCGTGATCTCCTAATGTAGTACTGAAGTTTTGTAGTACACTTCTTTACATCTTACTCTTCTCCTTGATCCAGTCGTCATATTTGTTAATTCATTGTCAAATGAAGGGCTATTGAGTTTCCAACGATTGCTAGGTTTTAATAGTAATTTGTAGTTTCATACGTTATGATCCACACCTTCACGTCTGGTGGAGGTCTGGTTGCTCCAACATCCAACTGCTACTTGCCCTAGACACTCCTCTCACCTCGTCAACTCTTCCAGGCGCCGGCTCCTCCCACCTCCGCCCAGCGCCGTCTCCGCCTTCTTCCTGCCTCTCCATCGCCTTCCTCTGCCACTCCTCCGCCAGCGGCTTCTTCTGGCCTCACCATTGCTTCCTTCTAAATTCTGTCTTGTTCTTCGTTTGTGCTCGTAATTGAATTGCATAGTTAAAAGTTATTGCCTCTTAACTGATTGCTTCTTGGTGTTGTTTTTTATTTGTTTAATCCATCTTGTGCCTGCTCGAATTTTATAATACAATACCATATCCTCTCTAATCATGAGTACGGATTATTGCATTATTTGCATATGTATATGGTTTGGTATTCAGTTTCAAATGTGCTTCATATGATAAAAGTTATCCCTTTCTTTAATAGGGTGGCATTTTACAAGACATGGTGTTAATTCTCTTGGCATCAAATAAAATGGCTTATTGATAATAGTAGCATTTATCTATTTACATTCCTGCACGTCATCTGTTTGACAAAATGCCATTTGCATTAATAATATTAATTAGGACAACGATACATTACTGATGGTATAGTATTTTTCTCCATTCATTGTTAATAAAGTACCTGTATATTTGTAAATACTTCTTCTTTACAATTTCTGAAAGATAAATTCTATCAAAAAGATAAATTCTTTACAATTTCTCCATTCATTGTATATAATGATGTTATATTTCTATCAAAAAGATAAATTCTATCTAGCACAAAAACAGAAGAGTAAAATAGTCATTTTCGTCATTTAGGATAGCCGAGGCATAATCAAACAACCCCTAATAGTTGATAATCAGTAAAAATGTTGGATGAATTGTTACAATTACCTTTTCTTACTTCAAAATTGAGGAAAATTGTTCTATATAAGAGTACATCCTGTGAAAAAATGGCGGATTTGAGTGTGCTACACTAAGAAAGCTACACAACAAAATGATTCGAAACGTATATGTCAACTTTTAATCTGCAAATAGGCTTAAATTTCCAAAATTTGAAGCAGACTACTTTTTATATGGAAGTAATATATTGTTGTAAACTGTAAAGTGTAAAGTGAAGTGTTTTTTTTTTTTATCTACAAATATCTTGGATATGCAGCAGCCATTACTCTAAGGAAATATGGCAACTATTAGAAATCTGAAAATCAAGACAGCAGCATGCAAACGCATTGTGAAGGAGCTACACTCTTATGAGAAAGAGGTTGAGAGGGAGGCAGCCAAGACAGCTAGCATGAAGGAGAAGGGTGCTGACCCTTATGATCTTAAACAACAGGTAAACTGTCTTTACAGTAACACAAATACACTATTCATTTCTTGCTAGTTTTTCTTGTTAATGTTTCTTCATTTAGTGAGATTGCAAGAAAGATGAATACATAAAGAGCTGTGAAAAAAAATGAGATTTATTCATTGATCAAAGAATTTTTCCCTTTTGATTTATTAAAACAGGAAAATGTGCTTGGTGAATCAAGGATGATGATTCCTGATTGTCGCAAACGCCTGGAGTCCTCACTAGCCGACTTAAAAGCAATATTGGTATTTTTTTTTTCTTTTTCGATTAAATGCAAGAAATAGCTATGTACTTTCAATATATTTGTGTTTTACAGCATCCTATAATAAAATTTAATGAAAGTGTATTGCTATTACTTGCATTTAACTTACCCATGTTCAACTTATTTTCTGGTTTCAGGCTGAGTTGGAGGAGTTGAAGCAAAAGGAAGGACCTGAAGTTGTTGAAGCTGAAAGCACAGTTGCTGATATTGAGAAGTTATTCCAAACAACAGAATCTTAGTATGTTGGCTCAATATAATTGAGTGTCTTTTATGCTTTTGGTGTCGAGAATTTGTCATATTTAAGGTTGGCATATTAAGACTTATTTTTATCGTATTTTAAATAAGTTTTTCATTAAAAATCTGGTTCTTGTGGTATGTGTTAGATATCATATTTACCGTTTTGATAATGGTATGTGTTAATGTGTTATTAGTTTTGTTCTTTGTAATTTACTTAGTTATTAATTTGTGTATTTGTCTCTCTCATATGCTATTATGTCTCACCAGAAAAGGTCTTGCATGTTATTCACATCAAAATAATATATTTATCATTTCATATCTTGATCATCGTACCACAATGTCTTCATTATTATGTTAACATTTCACTTGGGTTATTAAGTTTTGGCCTCACATTGTGCTTGGGCATCAAACACTTTCATTAGTGTTGCATAAAGTTTATAACTTGGCCCTAATGATGAAGGTCTAGCGGTTGAGATGCGGAATTCTATGAAGAAAGTCCAGGATTCTGAACTTGCCACACTTAAAATATTACTAGTTCTCTGTAATTTACTCTACATGGGGAGCCTTTGGTTTGACTCATAAGGACAATCCATATGATTTACCATTGTTTAAACTTTAAAGTTTATGACTTGGAAGTAAATTCATTGATTAGGGGGAGAGACACATTGGTTGATGAGAAAGCACGTAAATAGAACCGGAACCAGACCAAACCTGAACTGTGTACATGTATATTGTCAGACACCAGATTTTCAATTTATACCTAATGCTAGAATCGGTACTATCGGGATTGCTATATTACCAAAAAAACCGAACCCGAACCTGAACCAAAAGTTAAAAATGCACTTTTGATTTCTTTTAAAAATCAGATTCTCTCTCTATGAAGCACATGCATAAGTTTTTATTTGGACGACAGATTAGTTGGTTAGTATGTTAGTAAACTCCTTAGAATCTTCTTACCCATGTTCGAACCTGAAACTTCTGCTCCAAGAGGTATTACCCTATACCAACCAGGCTAGCCCCATTCGCTACATAAATAAGTTGATTGCACTAATATTTATAATAATTAAACTTTTTATCAGTTGTCAAAGGTGATGATATACACAGTTGAAAGTTGAAAGCTGGGGAAAATAACTTATATAATGCCTAAGGACAAGTAACTGTGAAACCAAGAAATTAACAATACGTTGATAATGACTTTACACATGAAATTACATTTCTCTTTATTTGGTTCTTGATTCTATAAACATACATTTTGACCAAAATGCATTTGGCGTAGCGGTATAAGGAGTCGACGGATTGATGAATGAGTGTCTCTCAGCTAAAGGTTCAAGGTTCAGGGTTTACGTCCTGTTATGGATGAACAGGGCTGACCCTAAGGGAGTTTAAAGTGTGCGACCGCATAAGGCCTGAGTTTTAGCTGTATTTTCTTATTTTATATTTTTATTAATAACATATTGAAAATTATATACAAAATGCATCTAGTTCAGTTGGTATAAGGACGTTGATTCCCATCTTGGACCTTTTTGTGTGTTTTATTTTTCCAAAACAAATGGTCAATGGCGCTGCTTTTGTGTATGCTTTTTTTCCTTAACAAACTATTCTTAAAATATAAATTTACTTGGATTTCTTTTACGATGCTTTTTTCCAACACATTGTATTTATAATATAAATTTAATTGACCTTCAATCCTAACTTCCTTTGTGAGCTTGCATTCAATAAAATAAAAAGTTATATAACAAGAAGAATTTTTAAGTTTTATTGGGTTTTCTTCCACAAGATGAAAAGTTAAATTTTACAGGAGTGTTTTAATAAAAATATTTGGTGAAAATTTAATAACAACATTATATGGGAATTTATGAAAAAAATCCAAGTCATCTAGAAGAGTAGGGTCGGCCCTGAGAAGGTGTGAGGTGTAGGTTTGTGTCATCAAGGGGGGCGAAACGTTTTTACATATTAGGAAATTTTCGTCAACAATCTACGCTAATCCGTTAGTTGGCTTGTGTCACTATTTCATTGCTAATTATATTCTTTGATTATTTGTAAATGAGTTTTTCTATTATAAATTATACATACTAATATAATTAACCTCGGTCTACTAGATGTCTAATCTTGTTGTAGTGTTAATGAATTTTGTTTGTATAAAACAAATTATATTTAAGGCCCATTTTTATCTTTTTAACATGGTCTTTAAAATCAATCATGGTTGTGTTGAAAAATATAGATTTAAAAGTAGATTAGATTAGTCATTAGTGGATACGTATAAACCGTTCAAAAGAAAAAAACTTCTTCCAAAGTTATTCCATGGCATGGCAATGGATTTGTATCATTTGACTTTAAAACAATTTGTTACCTATAGTTTTTCTTTTAAATTAAATTATTAGGTAAAAGCAAAATATAATAATTCTAAAATTCTAAAATTATTTTTCCCTCCTAATTTATATGCAAGAAAAACCTAAAAACCGTTTGAAATAACAACTTTCTTGTTCTTTCTTTTTCTCCAAAATCCGCAACAAAGCATTAAAGGTTCTTCACACTCGCAAACCCCCACCACTGCAGCCACATCGAGAAAATTCTTCGGTTTCATCTGTTCTACAATCTTCTGTGAGAAAATGAGTGATGCCTCTAGGGTTTTCAGAGAAGTGATGAATTTGAGAAAAGATCAAAGCATCGTAGGCATGAGTTTGCTGCCGGACGAGAAGAACATTCGCCACCTCACCGCAATCATCCCCGGCCCTGTCTCCTCCCCTTACGAGGGAGGAATGTTCCATGTCAACATTACTTTGCCCGGTCCGTCCCTCTTTCTATCTCTATCTCTACATATTTTTGTAATTTTACCTAGATTATTGCTTATTTGTCGATAAGTGTGTGTGTGTGTGCGCGCGTAATTGCGATTCTGTGTTAATTTCGTGTTTGATTTTATTCACTGCAAGTGCAGAAATCTGTCGATCAAACTTGATCTATAAAACAACCGACCTATTGAAGCTTGATTGAACGCCTGGATTTTGTAGTGGATAGAACCGTTATTGTTCTTTAGGACTTGATAAACTTATATGGTGACTTGTTGATACAGTCTCATTAATTGTGATCATAACTTCATCCGATACTGATTACAGTTGAATTGCTCTGTTGTATGTTTTAAGATTTGAAGGTTCCGTCGTGTGAAGCTAATCGTTTCTATAACTTCTTACGATAGATCTAACCCTAACCCTAACCCCAACCACATCTTACATTGTGTGTTTCTAGATTTGATTAACGTGTAATTATTCATTACTGTCACATCAGTGATTAGATTAACTTTGTGTGATTTTCTTACAGTTTCATTGATAGTGATCTTCAAGTTATTTAATCATAATACTTGCTTTTCTACAGTTCTCATAAATGTTCACTAACTGTAAACAATGCTTTCATTTTCCTTGATATTTTGCAGATGGCTATCCCTTTGCACCTCCTGTAATGAAGTTTACTACTAAAGTTTGGTAAGAACAATAAAACTTATTAACCATTACCCACAAGTTAACATACATTCTAAAGATGTAAACCATTTTTAATTCCTAGGCATCCAAATATCAGTAGCCAAACAGGAGCTATCTGTCTTGATATCCTACAGAACAACTGGAGTCCAGCTCTAAACCTCAAAACTGCTCTGCTTTCCTTACAAGCTCTGTTATCAGTCCCAGAACCCAATGATCCCCAAGATGCTGTTGTTGCTCAACAGGTTTCTACTCATTCCTCTTTTTCCTTTTCCTTTTCAAAATTTCAATTTTTCATCATACATGTTGTTTAACTTTCTTCAAATGCAGGCTCTCAATGATCATGCTACATTTGTTGCTACAGCTAAGCGTTGGACTGAGGAGTTTGCCAAGGGTTCATCTGCTGGTTTCAATGAGAAGGTATGCTTGTATGTTCAAATATATTTTGAGAAATGAAATAGTATTCATCAGAAAAGCTGTTGGATGCAGGTTCAGAAGCTTGTTGAAATGGGGTTCCCAGAAGCTTTAGTAAAGACAACATTGCAAGCTGTAGGTGGTGATGAAGACATGGCACTAGAAAGGCTGGCTCCAAAATAGAAGAACCATCTACTTGCTAACTACCTGTTAAACCAGATAAGCTCTTCTTTCTTTGTATAGTTGGGGATGGATGAATTGAAACTGGTTTAATCATTTTCAGTAATTGGAAATGTTGCTCTATACATACATGATACATATATTGACCCTTAAACTTTGCCTCTACTACATATATCACAAAAAAGAGTTGAATTCTATCAAGTGACATGTGTGCTGGTTTACTACCTTTATTTTGTAAAGGATTATAAAATCTATTTGTATTCTTAGTATTGACGCCACTAGATAATGCCCCTATCCCTCCAAAACTTTATATAGCTATTATACCTAACTTTGTAATAAAAAATCGATTTTAACATACTTCAAAACTTTGTTTTTGTAGATTCAATAAATTGAATCTTGACCTGCACGACCAAATTTATAATGCGCGCAATACACCATGTACGAAGAAATGCATTGGTTTAAAGTTGTGTTTTTAATTTTACAACGACGTTGGTATTATTAGACGCATTATCAAAGAAAATAGAAAACAATATATTTTTTGTAATTTAAAAATGGTTATTACGTGAGCTATAATTCTATATGTATCATGGTTGCTTTTACTATTTTTTATGAATGGTTGCTTTTACTTTTAATCTTTCAATGTAGTTTTGTAAGCCACAATTTCTCTTTTTTTACAAACCAAAAGGTATCTTAGTGTATGTGAATTTGTATGGTTGTTTGTTTGTAAAATAAACAAAATTCGTCCGAGATTATACCAATCAACTTTCAAAGTACAATAGTTACGTTTATTCTTTCAGTGTACTTTCAATTTGTCTCATTTAAACAAAAATTAAAGTGTAATAATCATGGATGCAAAAAGTACTACTCTCAGACAACTATGCTTTTTTACTATTTACCATGGTTGCAAAAATCGATCTAGGCGGCCGATTAATCGGCGCCTAGACGCTTGGCGGCCTCCAACCGCCGACGATTAATCAGCGCCTAGACGCTTGTAGTTTTAATTTTCTGTTATCATATTTGTTTTGGTTGTTTGGAATAAGATCAATGGTATTTTCATTATTTGGTTATACGGGGTGTAAAACACCCTTCATGGTAATGACTCAAATTTTTGTAATTCAAGCATTTTGGTATAGCCTCCTTTGCATAATGTATTTATGTTTAAAAATAACAATTCGCTTGTAAGCTTGTTGTAATAACAGATATAAAGTCCATACTTGGGTTTTTATGTGATTATAGACTTGGGCTTGAAATTTCATCTTTGTAGTATGTATTTGAATTGTTCTTATTTACTTATATTTTTATGATTAATGTTATATTTATTAATTTTTTTTTATAATTACTGGTCCCCGATTAATCCCCGCCTAACCGATTAATCCTTGACCCCAGTCCACCGATTAGCCTACGTCGAGCGATTTCTACAACCTTGCTATTTACATTATTTTAATTTGTTAACAGTGTAATACACGGGTTATAACATAATATTATTAATCTTAGCATTTTAAAAAAGAGCAAACCCCCGTTTAGGAATCTTGCTCGTAAATTGTATTATTGAGTCCAAGTGTCCAACGTTTATGAAACATAGTTGTTTGCCTCTTATTGTTAAAAAAAAAATGGACTTAAATTCTATACAAATTCTCATCTAGAAATAGATTAACTTGTAGAAAACATGGAATTTGACTTTATTTTGATCAAAATCTGGATATAATCGTGTATTCATGTATCATAACAAGCTCTGTAACAATTAAGCAGATATGTAACAAAACTCACTCTCACTCTTGTAAATCTAAACTAATGCAACCAACCAAATTCACTCTTGTGAATCTTGAATTAAGCAGATCTGTAACAAGCTCTCTTAGTTGCACGAACAATATCCTCAATCTGCACATTCAACCATTTAAAACCAACATAATCATTAATTCCTCCCTCTCTCAACATAATCACTCTTGTGTGTGTGTATATATATATATATATACACACACACACACACACACAGAGAGGAATGAATAAAAAAGTGACCTGAGGAAAAGCCAATCTCTCAAGATTAGCAGCATAAGGTGTTGGAACATCAGCCCCAGCAATCCTCTCCACAGGTGCATCAAGATAAACAAAGCTATCCTCAACAACAGTTGCACTACACAAACACAAACACAAACACAAACAAAATAAACAATTATATAATAATAAATAATCATTTTTTTTAACTAGTTTATTAATTAAGTAATACCATATTTCAGCACCAACACCATGTTGACGAAACCCTTCCTCAACAGTAACAAGCCTGTTGGTTTTCCTGACTGAATCATTGATTGTGTCTCTATCAAGTGGCCTTATACACCTCAGATTTATTACCTCCGCATTTATTCCATCTTTTTCAAGTATTTCAGCAGCCTAATAGTATTTGTTTTTTAAAAAAAAAAATTTAAAAATACCCTCAAGAGAAATAACACGTGTCCGAATTGAGATGAGGCATACCTTTAAAGCAAAGCCCACCATCTTAGAGTAAGCTGTGATTGTAACATCTTTCCCTTCTCTTTCAATCTATCAAAAAAAAAAAGAGGTAACTAATGGAAATGAAATAGAATGGTGGAAATTTAAATACTATCTCTATCAATCACCTTGGCTTTTCCTATTGGAAGGCAGAAGTTTGGATCAAGGACTTCAGGAGAAACTGGGAAGGACTCACCATATCTATAGAATATACCAAAAATGTCAATAATTAGAAAATATAAAGAAAAAAAAAACACCCTTTACTCACAATATTTCGTTTTCAAGGAAAACAACAGGATCAGGGTCTCTAATTGCAGCTTTTAAAAGTCCACGGGCATCTTCAGAGGAGTATGGTACAATAACTTTTAAACCAGGAACTGCACCATACCATGCACCATAACACTGCATTTAATTTACATTGTCTTGTGACTTGTGACTTGTGATTAAAACAACATAAAATTCTTAATTGCTTTATAAAAAACAACAGAAAAGAGAGAGAGAGAGGAAGTAGAAGAATCTTACTTGAGAATGTTGGGCACCAACACCAGCAGCAGCACCATTTGGGCCTCTAAAAACAATGGGCACATTAATTTGACCACCAGACATGTAGTTTGACTTTGCTGCAGAGTTGATGATATGATCAATTGCCTGCAAAATGTTTAAAGATTGATATATCAGATTACATCTTTGAATTCAACAACAAGAATATAATAAGGGATCTAAATTGTAACCTGCATGGAGAAGTTGAATGTCATGAACTCTATAACAGGCTTCAAACCATGATATGCAGCACCAACAGCAAGGCCTGTGAAGCCAGCCTGAATATATACATGGGAGGGAAACTATGTTTCATGAGGTTGTTTTAACTTTTAAGTACAGAAGATAACAACAGATTGATGAAAATGAAAAGAAGAAGAAGAAGAAGAACTAATTAATTAACCTCTGTGATAGGTGTGTCAACAACTCTCTCAGGCCCATACTTGTGTAACAATCCTTTTGTAATCTATCTAAGCATAAACAAATCCAATATTATGAGACCAAAACACACACAAACTTGATAGATCAAGTGTAATGCTTTTGAAATTCTAACCTTGTATGCACCCTGGTATTCTCCAACCTGCACATCACAAACAAGATGAGGCTTATAGCAAAAGACTCTCTGGATATATAATGATAAACACAGTACTAGCTAGTTACCTCTTCACCCATGATAAAGACACTGGAATCAGCAGCCATTTCCTCATCAAGAGCAGAGTTCAGAGCATCTCTTACTGTCATCTGTAAAAATATGAAGTTAAATCTAGATATACCAGTTTCTCTAAAACCTAATTTCAGCACTATGAAAAGGTCTACTAGTGTTTAAATCCCCTTTTGGTTCAATATGATTGATATGTAAAATCAGAAGAATCCATATTACATCTTTGGTTGCAGACGAGAAATGTCTCATGGCTGATGCGATAGGGCTTAATCTCTGCATGTAATCCCCAAATACCTGAAAGTACGGATAAGAAGTTAACAGAGCTATGGAAATGTTATCAAACACTCGCAGCACTTTCGTATTATAAAACGAAAGTTGGAGTTTTGTTTACCGGAGCCGATAAGCCTCTGGCACCGACTTTTTGTTTTATAATCCCCAACATCTTTCCTCTTTAACGCCAAAAGCTTCAAAAGGAACCGATCACAATTTTAAGATCCAGAAATCCCTCGAAGCCAATAAATTTGTTAACAAATTGTGCGATCGCAAAGATGTGAAGAAATAATACGACACACAGACGCGAATTCGTGACGTTAACTACAGAATCAACAAGACATCAAAGCATACGTGATTTGGTTTGCAAAATTTCACATAGGTTTGACAGACAGGTTTACTGATATCAAACTGTGAAGTACAAAAACTAATTATGAACAGATTAAAACCGTGAACAATGAAAATTGAAGCAATATTCGTAAGTACATCCTTTAAGCTAAATTCGGCGAAGAAATCTTAAATCGAAAAAGAAGGTACCTGGCCTTTTCCTATACACCGGCTGTAAAGGTGAATCAATGGCGAACCAAAGGTGACGAGACAATAGCACGATGAGTCTGTTCGAATCCTGAATCTGTTCGTGAAAATAATACTGTACAATATTTTGCGGGTTTGTAGTATTGCGACGCGTGGCTTTCCTTTGGTTCGGCTTTTTATGTTACGTTTCAGTACAAGTAACCATAGGAATCGCAATGAACGTTTGTCTTATGTATAATGTATACTGTTTAATACTATTATTAAATATTTTTTCTATTTAAAGTTACATTTATTTTATTAAAAAATACCTTACTTAATATATATATACACACACCAAAGAGTTTAACATTCAAAAAGGAGTTCGTCAAGTAGATCCACTCTCTTTCTTTCTGTTCATAATCGCCATGGAAGGACTCAATGTTGTGCTTCAATCGGTAGTGGAAAAATGCATTTTTAATGGAGTTAAAATACCTGATAACGGACCTACACTATCTCATTTATTCTATGCCGATGATGTCCTGTTTGTTGGTGAATGGTCACACACTAATCTTCAAAATTTGGCAAGAATACTGAATTGTTTCCACATCTCATCGGGTCTTAAGGTAAACTTCCATAAATCAAAAGTCTATGGTCTTGGAGTTCAAAATAGTGAAGTCTTGAGCTGGGCAAATTTACTTGGATGTGAAGCTGGTTCACCCCCATTCACATACCTCGGAGTTCCTGTCGGTGCCAATATGAACTTAATAAAAAACTGGAAACCTATTATAGATAAATTTTACTCCAAGCTTTCCTTATGGAAGGCCAAATCACTATCATTTGCTGGACGACTCGCCCTTATAAAATCAGTGTTAGAAAATCTCCCGAATTACTTCTTATCACTTTTTGTTGCACCAAAATGAGTAATTGAGAAATTAGAGAAAATAAGAAGAAAAATCCTATGGGGGCGGAAATGAAGATAAAAGTAAAATACACTGGATATCATGGGACAATATCATCAAATCCAAGAAAGAAGATGGACTTGGAGTTGGATCGATTAGAGCCTTAAACATTGGGCTAATTGTAAAATGGTTGTGACGATTAAAAACAGAAACCTCCTCACTATGGAACCAATTCATCACAAGTATGCACAATCTTACTTCTAAACCTAACAATTATTTTTGTTGCAAAAAGATTACAGGAACGTGGAACAACATTGTTGTAACGCCCGTGTTTCTAGGCTAAGCATTAATATTGACATAAAAGTCTAGGTTAACCTTTGTAACTAATTTTGAAGAAATGAAAAGGAATTATGTGATTATTATGTGAAAATTATGTGTTTTATGTTTAATTATTAGGGTTTAATTAACTAAGAATAAAAATGAGCGTCGAAAATAAATATTAGACAAAGCCGATATTTATTAAGAAAGTGGTAGTGGTCGTGACAAGGATTACGGATATATAAAGATTGCCGAAATCCGAGTTATAACGAAGAAGTTATGACCTGTCGAAGTTTCGCAACAAAACCGACACTGTGCCGAATGACGTAAAAAATGAGTTTTTGATAAACTACTTTTTAGCCTTAGTGATCTAAACGAAAGTCGTAGTGTTCGTTAAACCGAGAGTGTGTATAAAAAGAACGCCCAAATCTGACTTCGTATGAGGAAGTTATGATTTTTCTAAGTTTCAGCTTAGCAGTAGACAGCTAAAAACTCGAATTTTAGATCGAGTGATTTTTAGCCGACACAACCTAAACGAGAATCGAAGGCCTCGTAAATAGTAGTACAACGATAAAAAGACAGACGAAAACGGACGTCGGATGAAGAAGTTATGAATTTTTAACGGAATTCCTGTCCCGGTCTGTTAAAAATAATAATATAAAAATTATAGTCAAAATTAGCCGACAAAGTCTAAACGAAAGTTGTAGAGCGTAATTTTACCTACGCGTGCATATAAAGAACGTCAAAAACGAAGCCCGTATGTGAAAGTTATGGATTTTAGAAGTACGGGGCACAAAAATCAAGAAAAGTCCGAAATCCGAGGAATTTCGCATGGCTGGTGTTCGGCCACGTCACCCTCGCCTCGCCTGCTGACCCATGTCCGATGCTGATGACGAGTCCGAAGCGTGGCCCAGTCCGAGACCGACGCGTGTCTGCCTCGTGTCAGCTGCTGATACGACCGAAGGGAGGTCCAACCGAAATCAGGCGCGTGTCGCATCGGTGGAGGTATCCGAAGCGAGCCACGTCTCGCCTACAAGCTTCCGACGCGCCTTCGCATCCGAGCCACCTCCGAGCCTCGCAGCTGCTGCGTGGAGTCTTCTTAGCCACTGAACTTCGGTCTCACACCCTATAAATAGGGGGGTTGCGAGATCTCCCGGCTAGATTTGGAAAATTGCCACTTTTCACCCCTTAAACAATATTTTTATCATTTTGACTTTCCCCGAAGCCCCGATATCATTTTCAACACCCGAAACACGTCCCGAAGTGCCCGAAGACCCGGAAAAATTTATCTTTTCGGTTTTGAAGCTCCAACCTCGCAGGACCCGGTTTTTCATTAAAGCCCCCGATTTTATTGGAAACGATCGTTTTAAGAAACGAAGTGCTGGTCGATTATCGTCTTATCATGTGAGTGCATAGTTACTTTCATCTTACACATAGATATGTAGTATTTTATATAAATTACGTGCTACGTGTGCATATTATCTGTATCCTTGCTATCTATGCTGGATGAACGATTTTATACTCGTTTTAAATGATTTAAACTGTATATGTTGGGTAAAACATGGGTAGATGTAATAGTTGTTGTGTGACAAAATAAAATAATGAGAGGCCTCGTTATAGATGTTATTGATGATCCAGTCATCTAGCGGAGTATAGATGACGACCACGGACTATTCTAGACAGTCCAGTGGAACGCTAGCAGGCTCGCAACCTGTAGGTGTTTATTTGAACTGTGTGTTTATTTTAACTGTGTGTTTACCAACAGTACTCCATCCCCCACATGGTTGCCTTATTTGACATGAATTGCTGAGGAATCCCCGAAGCATGTGTTGTCGCCCCGATGAAAGTCCTTAGACTAGGTCCCTTGAGTTAGATGTTTTAGGGACGTAAAGTGAGGATAACGGGAACGGGTAATCGGGTTTGTTTGGTTTGATAAAGTTAATAAACTTATTTATTGTGGGTTGAAAACCCTATGTGCTCACCAGGCTCCCAAGCCTGACCCACTCAGTTTCTTGTATTACAGGTAGTGGCGCATGAGCATAAATGTTTGGATGTGAGATAAGGGATTATAGGCCTGTAAATATGAAATAATGTAGTAAGGCTTATGTTGTACAGTTTATGCTTTTGATTTGTATCGAACATGACATCCCGAGTCTTTTAATGAAATACATTTCTTTGGAAATGCTTTTGATAAATCTTTATCATATCTTGTTTTGGGACAAATTCCGCAACACTTTTATTTAAAATGTTACTCTGATTTTTAAACAAGCATAAACAAAATCGGTATTTTCTAGCCGTGAAAACTGGGGATGTCACAATTGTTGCCATAACAAAAGAGACGGAGAAAAACAAATATACCATCAACGACATTTCCAAGATATCAATAAAATCTGGAGAAGACACACTATTTTGGCAAGACAAGTGGACTGGAGATCAAACATTGCAAAAAAAAAAAACCCAGAACTTTATGATCTTGAGCCCAACAAAAAAAGCTACAATTGCTCAAAAGCTTTCGGATCCTAACACGCCTTGGAGATGGAAATCCTGCCCATTAATGGCAGGTTTATCACAACAAATATGTGATATACACAGTGACTTCACAAACACCAAACTCAGCACATGAAAGGATCAATGGAGCTCTCGCCTTACTGCAGATGGAAATTACACAGTGGAATCACTTAGAAAAATAACCGACGATGCGCCTCTCTTAAACACTGAAATGTCGGTTACTTGGTGTAAATAAATCCCTCTAAAAGTTATATGTTTCAATTGGAGAGCTGCACAAGAACGCATTCCCACAACATCAACACTAATCAATCGAGGAGGCAACTTAACATCACCTTTCTGCACTTCATGTATTGGTGAACTTGAAGACTCCAATCATCTTCTGGTTCAATGCCCCATCGCTAAAGCTATTAGAGACAAAATTATTAACTGGTGTGGCACATCGTTACCTCCATCATCCAATACCAAGGAGTTACTGAAATCCATTACCAAATGGGGCACATGTCCAAGACAAAGAAAAAGGTTGATAATTATTAGTTATGCCATGTTTTGGGGTTTGTGGAAGTTTCGTAATGATAGGATCTTTCGTAATACCGTTATCAGTCCAACAAATGGAGTTGGTTATATAAAATCGTTAGCATTCACATGGATCAAATATAGGAGTAAAAAAGTCATTTGTAATTGGGAAGATTGGTTAGCATCTTCTTTTTCTTCTCTGTAATTGTTAAATTTTTTTTTGTTTGTTCCTGTTTTGCCCCTGCTTTGCTTCTTGCTCAGTTTGGGTGCTTTATAAAATTTGGCTGTTTCCAATATATATATATATATATATATATATATATATATATATATATATATATATATATATATATATTATATATATATAGAGAGAGAGAGAGAGAGAGAGCGATGATGGTTCATTGAAAAAAAGGTTGAGAATAAAGGAATGAATGTGGGCACTCATTTCGAATCTACCGTTTAAGTGTTCCAACGTACTAGGCCAACGGAACAGATCATATTCATATATGAATATAATCATATATATATATATATATATGAATACTTATATTCATATATGAATAAATATAGAGGAAACGATTATTCATATATGAATATGGTGACGGTAGTTGGTGGTAGAGGTGGTGGTGGTTGGTGGCGGAGGTGGTGGAGGTGGAGGTGGCGGCGACGGTGATCGTTGGTGGCAGATGGGAGGTGTTGGATTCATATATGAATATACTTACATTTATATTCGTATATGAATATTACTTATCCTCCGCCTCAACAAGTCCGGTCCAAGATCCAACAATTTCTTTCAAACCGGTTCGGTCTGGTTCCGGTCCAAACACTCACCTTAAAGTCATAATAGATAAACTAACTTTCGGTAGGGCTTGAATGATTTGTACCATATGCACTTAAAGTTGTACCGATCCAGCGAGTACAAGAACCGGAAAACCCATACTTGCCTCAACAGGTCTGATCCAAATTCCACCA